GTCCTTTTCTGAATCTGACCTGATTATCTGGTTTACGGCGGCAACCATTGTTGAATTGATGATCTTCAGCAACATTTTATTTGCATGTGACAGCAACTAACTATTGGTTTTGCTCAAATATCCTTAATTTTGATATAATTTATGTTCCTGTTTGCAGAGTTTTTATCAGAACTGGGTTTGGGAGTTAGGAAGTACCTTTTCTGCATCCATTGGTTCTTTCGTGTGGTTCCACGTTGATTTTTTTTTTCTAGTGTTGAACCATTTTTCCATACCTGGTATGAATCTTGATGTATTTTTGATATGATAACTGAGCTATTGGCTAGAATTTTTGTTGCGGACTTTTGCATCTATATCCATGAAGGAATTTGGTTTATAATTTTCTTTTGTGTGTGCGATATTTACCTGGATATTATGTTATTTATTATAAGTAAAACTAAAATCAAGATAAACTAAATGAAAAATCAAGATCTCTAAATGCTTTGGATTTGTCATTCAGTATATTGATCCTCCCCTCCACTTCCCCAATAAACGTAGCCTTACCATTGATTTATTCATTACTTTAGATTCTACAAGGGTTTTATAAATATTTGCAAATAATCTTTATAAGCAAATTTTTGAAAAATTTATGGAACTCAAACCTGTTTTCAGAGGCAAGAGTTTGTAAAATGTCAAGGGGGAAAAAAGACCTCTTCTGCCTCTAATAAGTGTGCCTATTTAACAGTTGGAAAGTTAAAAAGATTTCATTGATGCAAGACTTCTCAAGGCCAGTTAATGTGAAAACACGTACCCTAAATCTCCTAGATTTGGCAAGCAGTGCTTTAGTCATTTGGAAAATACTGAACTACATATGTGCAATCACACTGTATCATACACAGACAAATAATTAAAATTACCCCGATGGTTGTCAGTGAAGCCTGTGAAAGCTTGAACTCGAAGGAGAGTGACTTGTTCTTCAGGACCCCACAGGTTTGCTCTGGTTTTAAATAGTTTTATTGGCATATACTTCACATACCATACAATTTAATCACTCAGTCATATTAAGATTGGTGCAGTCATCAACACACTCACTTTCTGCACATTTTTCTCATACCCATTGCTATTAGCTCCCCATTTCCCTCTGTCTTCAGTTACTGTCTCTATAGTTCTACCTATCCTGGAATTCTTATATAGAAAATTATACAAAACAAAATTAAATAGAATATAATCATGAAAAATACAATCATAAAAAATATAAAACAAAATGTCCAACAACAATGACAAGGCAAAACAGAAAAGCCTTTATGAAAGAGAAAGCAGAAAACATTAAAAACTGAAACAACCTTAAAATGGGTTGAAAGGAAGATCAAATTATATGGTATTTTTACATTTTAATCTAACCACATCTTCCAAAATCGACTTTACTCTGCTGTCTTTTTGTTCACAAGGCTATTCACGTTCCTTGACTATGGGCTGAAGAGATTCACTAGAAGTATCTTCCAAGTCTTCTGTCTCTGACAAAATTCAGTCTTACCACTCTTCTCTTGCTGTTAGTGGAAAATATTTGAGTTTTCCTTCTCTGGTAGGCTTCTACCCAAACTTATTCAGATTTTTGCATGCTCTTACTGTGTCTACTTCTTATGTCTATTCTTCTCTATTACTCTTCATTTTCCTCATATGTATTCATTTGCTTGCATACTAATAGTGACCTGATTTTGAAATAACTTTTTTCTCAGCAGTTATGGATTTCTAAGACTTAGAGAAAAATGTTCAGTTAACCATGGTTTTGAAATTCAAGGGGCATATAAAATTTTATGAACATTTTAATTTAAAAATAATGGAATTCTTCCATCAATGTTTTAAACCCTCATATAATAATTATGGCGTTATATTTGTACTTGGTATTTTTTAATAACATTTGCAGAATTTGCAATGGAAAACAATAGAAAATTACAACTACTAGATATCTTTCTAGTAAATTATATCTTTCTAATTAGATGCTTCATTCCAGAAAAATTTAGAAAATACAGATGAAGAAGAAAACTAGCAAACTTTACAATCATTCATATTTGTGTACTGAGTGGTATCATTAGGGTCTATGTTTTGGTAAAACTAATATTTACACATGTAAAGAAAGAAAAATTAACCATCCCTCTTCAGTGAAAGGCATAAAAGTAAAGCGTCTTTACTTCCCACCCCACCCACACTTCCTTCAAGTCACTACATTTTTCTCCTCCAAAACCCACTACTGCCAGGGTGTTGTATAAGTACTGTTGGCACTGTTAAGTATGCATTAAACTGCTAATGGTGAATCCGTGGTTCAAACTCTCCAGCTGCCCCACATCAGAAAGATGAAGCTATCTCCCCCAGTAAGGTTTTACAACTCAGAAACCTATATAGGGCCACTGTGAGATGGAATCAACTTAATGGCAGTGGGGGGCTTTTGTTTGTTTGCCAGTGTAGCATAGTGAGTTAAGTGGTGGGCTGCTAACTACAAGGTCAGTGGCTCAAATCTAACAGCCACTCTGCAGGAGAAAGATGAGGCTATCTGCTCCCATAACAACTTGCAGCCTTGGGGCCTCTTATGGAACAGTTCAGTTTGACTCTGTCTTTTTTTTTTTTTAATTAAATAATCATTTTATTAGGGGCTCATACATCTCATCACAATCCGTACATACGTCATTTGTGTCCAGCATATTAGTACATATGTTGACTTCATCATTCTCACAACACCTGCTTTCCACTTGAGCCCTTGGTGTCAGCTCATTTATTCCCCTCCCTCCCCGCTACCCCTCCCCCTAAACCCTTGATAATTTATAAATTATTATTATTTTATCATATCTTACCCCATCCAA